TGCAGGCAGCAGTGGGCCGCTCCAAACATGGACAGGAGCAGGAGCCGGAGCAGAGGTGGGAAAACATCATGCCGCATCGTTCTTATGATGCTTCACTTCCACTACAACCCTGATCAGAGACAAACAGCTAGTCTGATCCTCTCCCTGAAAGAACGGACAAATGACTCAGGCTTAGGTAAAAAAACAGGTCAAAGTACAACTCAGAACCTCTGCTAGAAAAGCAAACTGAAGGGCTCAAACTGACGAAATCATTCTTTTCCATTTCTGATTTATAAAAAACTTCTGTCACTTTGAGAAGTGCACGTACCTCAGAGAGAAACGTTTGAAACAAACTCAGTAAAATAAATGAAAAAAGAAGAAAATGCGTTGCAGTTTCTCTGCTCTTCCCCGGTGAGAAGTCCCACAATTCCAGCTCGGTCCCAACAAAGAAGGTTTAACAGGTTCCCAGTGAAACCAGATCCAGGAGCTGCTGAGTGAAGGTCGCTAGTTCCCCTGAGCTCTCAGGTGAATCAGAGCTCCAACAGAAGCAACAAATCTGGGTGGTTTAGCTTCTGATTTAATCAACTCTCCAACATCATCGATGCTAAATCGCATGAAAGAGGATTTCTTTTTCAAATATCTGAGGTTTGTTGTCCCGTCCTACAATTTCCTCAGCTGCAGATCTTGTAGGTTCCCTTTATGTTGAAGGCGGTTGTCTAAATAGCAAATAAACCAGTGGTGAAGCAATAGGTCACTGGTGTGTGTGTGCGTGTTTGACTTAGCATCTTATCTGACTAAACTGATGACACAAAAGGATGCTCAGGTTTACAGACCAAAGCTCTGGATTTAAAACTGGAGACGGCCCAGATGGACGTGAAGCTTCAACAGGTTTGAGAAACATGAGATCAGGTGACTCACATCTCCATTAATCCAGGTATATGGTGAAATAGTTTCAACGGAACTAAAATATGTGGTACTGATGGGTTACAGCAGCACGTGGATGCATGCAGCCACGTTCCTGTTCAAACGCAACCAGGTTTTCACTGCTTTTGTCTCCAGAGCAGAACTCCATCAGCTCTAACCACTGATCTTTATTTAAGGAGGCCCCCGAAGCTGCTGAGTTAGTGAAAATGTGAACTATTGCAGCAAGGCTGGTCAAGTCTGGTCCTGGACAGTTCCTATCAGTGTGTTTTAGTTGTTTCTCTGCTCCAACACGCCGGATTGGCGCTGATATTCAACCTGATGATCACTGGATTTCTCCTGATTGGAGTGGGAGGATAACTAGTTTTCTGGAAATTTGGGAAGACGGGAGCGATTGGAGGGTGACCCGCACCCACGGAAAGCACCGTCCGTGTGGAGACTTCTCAGACTGGGACGTTACTCGAGGTGACTCGTAAGCTGGACAATGTTCTAGCTGCGATACCGCTATTAGTGCGCAAAATCCATGTCATCTCGGAGAGTCACCGGACGGTATGGACAGGTTAAAAACCCAAAATTGAAGGACCGGAATGATCAGTTTAAAAACTGAAGGCAGAGAGGAAAATTATCTCAGCCTGACCCAAACAAAGTCTTGTTATCCGAATCTGACGCCCTGGTAGCCTTGAGCTGCAAGCAACTAAACCCCCCACGAAGGAATGCACAGATGCTGTGACCCCCCCCCCCCCTTCAGATTGGTGGACTTCCGCCTGGCGAGGCCATCAACCTGCAGGAGTCAATGTGCTCTGCGCTTTTCCAGAGATCTCCCTCCCACCTGTGGCTACAGTGGCTGAGCGCCAGATGGCTGCTCTCGCTGGGGGAAACAGGATCCCAGCCCCCCCCCCCCCCCCCAGCCTTCCTATTGGAGTCTCATGTTATGTTGCGTTGTCTGAAGTCTGTTGCATATCTGTCTGAGGTGTTTTTTGCACAACAAAGCTACGCTCCCGGTGGAGGGTAACTTGGAAGTGCCTTTTTTTCCCTCCACCTGAACTAATCCTCATGTAACCCTCATCTCTATTAAGGTAGCGCGACTCGGGTTGCGAACGACCACAGTTACCAATTCTTCTCATGTTTCTTGCCCATGTATGTCTGATCTCTGAATTGTGTGTACTGAAACTCTAATTTAGGAAGGATAGGAGCTCTGGACTAACTTCAGCAGGGTCCAAAAACAGTTTCCTCACAAGCACAAACAAACAAAATTAAACAGGAAGTGATCATTTAAGAACATTTATTGTTTCCATTACTGCAAATCCTCAAGAGATGGTTGTACAGTTAAAAAGGTTCACAGATGGACGTTAAAAATACATTTTTATATACACAGTGACCAACGTCACAATTTATTGCCCTTCCTCCAAAGGGAATGAGAGATTACAGCTTTAATAATCTGGGAATCAAAACCCAGGTATTTACATGTACAGAACTAAATCCATGCAGTTGTTTAAGCCAGGTGACAGATTACAGTCAGTTACGGATCTCATGCATCACACCGGGGAACAAACATGGCAGGACGAAGGAAGTCTGAGCCGTTTCATCATTTAGCTTCATTCTGGAATGTTAATGAAATATGTAACCAGAAAAAATCCTGATGAGACCAAACTGCCCGGAGCATCCACAAAAGACCTTCTGTTTGGAAATAAAATGTGTCCCGACCTGCAAGTTTTACTGAATATTTACCCTCCAAAGGCATTCTCTTACGTCACCTCTCCACTCTATAAAATAACTGCTGTAAAGTGCCTTGTGCACACATTTATTTACAAAACTCTGCTTTTAAAATCTGACCTGGAAGAACATTTGGTCACAAATTAACTCACAAAACTAAGAATCAAACTGAATCGCTTCCAGCTCCGGTTTCCTTGTTCTGCCTAATCAGCCGTTTTATTAAAGCGCTAAACAGACAGCAAAGTTTAGCTTTTCTGATATTTATCCTTGTTAAAATGTTTTCTTTGAACCATCAGGGATAAACAACACGTGCCCTACTCTAACAGATGCTGCCACGTTTCTCTCAGGAAGCCACCAGCGTGAGACGGTTGGAAAACAGGCCTCTAATCTAAAGAAACCAGAACACAAGTGTGTGCATAAACCTCACAGGAAGTGGTTGAAACCCAACAGGTGCACATTTAGTCACTTCCTGTTTCCTGTAAGGCTGTGTGATGAAGCAGAAACGCCCCAGAGCAGCGTTTGTTACCCGCCTGGACTGGTGACCAGGTTTAGGTCCTTGTTGGTGACTAAACCGCTGCTTTTTTAAGGCGGTAATGTGGTTTTCCTCTAACAGCAGAATCACAGCAGCTGGTAACACGTCAGCAAGCTTTACTACAGGAAAGCTGCTCAGTGGGCCAGACCCTGAGGAGCTTCAGGTATCAGAGAGGAGAAGAAGGTTTTAAAGAACACCCAGGCCGTCCACATCAGCGATACTCTGTGAGGAGGAACTAAGACGGCTGCCATTGGTTCCTCTGATCCTTCTGCTGCAGGTTCTTCCACCTGTTCAGCCGCCTCATCAGCCTGAAGAGAAGTTTATTTTAGCCACAGCTGATATTTAGAATTTAAAGATCACCTTGTTCCTCACAAGAGTAAAACCCCGGTTTCTTACTGGATTTAGGGCTTGGTTCCTGTCCTCGTTCTGCTGGTTGTGCTGGACCTCGGGAGGCTGCTGAAGGTTGGGCCCGGGGACAGCTGCTGGCCTTCTGAAGCGAAACCAGCCAACGGTGTGTCTGAAGGAAAAAGGCAACAACAGAAGAGTAAATACAGGAGAAATTCAGAAAGTCATTTTTTTTTACTATTAAAAGGCTGTTTTACTATCTAACGCTGTAAAACGCCTCACAACACATTTTTATCAAAATAAATGATCACTGTATATTGTTAATTAATTCAAATAATATAATATTGATTTAGTGTTGTAGTGTGTGTGCTGTTTTATTTTATATGTGTACTTATTTCAGTTTATTTGTGTTTTTTATGCAGAAAAAAAAAACAAGCAACGATGGACAACTACATGGGGAACAAGACACCCACCCCCCAGCAATGCATACACTTACAAACTCTATTCTAGATTCTACATTATTTTTTATGGAATTTACCTCTTATATATATATATTTTTTTATTTATTTAACCTTTATTTAACCAGGATAGAGACTCATTGAGGTTAAGAACCTCTTTTACAAGGGTGTCCTGGCCAAGAGGCAGCAAAAAATAAAAACTGTTACAACTTAAGGACAATGATAAAAACACTCAATCATTAAAAGCAGTTACAAGTTAAATTATGATGCCAAAAAATTTTTCTGGACTGATATTTTGCACCGTTTAGCTCATTTTACACCGCTGACTGTGTTCATGTGCAATAAAATCGATTGCAGTCAACTGCACAATTCTCTTATGCTTTTCTTTTTCTTAACTGAAATGTATTCATCACTTGAATAGGTTAAATAGCTAAACAATAACAAACCAATTAATCGAAAAAATAATCGACAGTTTAATCGATTATGAAAATAATCGTTAGTTGCAGCCCTGGTTGTGTTAGTGTTTCCGTTTGTCCTTTTGGTATGATTTCCAGTATGTCGTCTACGCAGCGTTTCCATAGTTTCATTTAGCAGTTGGGGGGGGGGGGGGGGGGGGGTGCAGTGGCTATGGCTTTTTGCTCCAGGTCTTCCACGAAAAACTGGCACAGGGTGGCTGATAACGGGTTACCCATGGCGAAGCCTTCCAGTTGTTTGTATATTGTGTCGTCGTATGTGAAGTAAGTGGAGTTAGCTACCAGTCCTATCAGTTGTGCTATGTCGTCTGCTGTGAGGGTTGTTCCTTTGTGTAAAGTCTTGTCCTGTCTGATTCTGTTAACTACTATGTCTTTGGTTTTTTGGGTTGGTGTTTTTGTGAACAGAGATGTGACGTCATGTGAGATGAGTATGTCGTTGTCTTCTACTGTAATCTCTTTTACAACGCGGATAAACGGAGAAGAAAGTGACGCCACCACCAGCGCCAGCTCAGGAAGTTCGCAGCCGCAAACGAAACGTCAGCAAGTTAAAGAAAAAACCTTATCTGGGTTTATGGCTTTGATGGATTTTATGATTGTTGAGCCAAGATTTTTCTCTTCAGCTGAATCAAATATTCAGTGAGAAATGCATATTCGTAACTACATACTTTGCATTTTAATGTCTGTTTTTAACTTTATACAACCAACCAACCCTCTGTTGGGTGGAGCTGGCTGAACTCACAGGTACATGAAGAAGAGCGTGCTCATCACCAGCAGGAAGCGACTCAGACTGGAGTTGAAATACACGATCATGAGCAGAACGCCGAATCTCGCTGCCGAGTACAGCCAGTCCAGCCAATCGCGTTCCACGTCCTCCTCGTCCTCCATCACCGGCCCACCCTGCGCGTTCATACGCATGTTCTGGTTGGCCTCCCCAGGATTGATGAAGGCGGCGTCCTGCACGGGGTTCTGATTCGCCGGCAGGTTGTCGATGGGGTTCTGATTGGCTATGGGAGCTGGGACGGGTACTTGGTGGGCGGGGACATGTGGGTACGGACCAAAGGTTGCTGCAGGTGTTGATGGAGCAGACCCCGCTGCTGCCAGAGCTGCGTGGCTGTGGACGGAAAATCGGATTTAGAGAATACCATGGACTATTTTAGTGCGTGCGTGTGTGTGTGTGTGTGAACACTCACTACTGCATGTAATACTGTCTGGCGTAGACGTGTTGGAGCCACAGCAGCTGCTGAGGGCTGTACAGGGAGAAGTGGGGAAAGGCTGGGTGTGTCAGCTGTGATGCTCCAGGCCTGCAGAGAGACAAAACCTGAACTTTTGACCAGGAAAAGCTCGTTTCTATCATCAACTACAAAATCGGTGAGCAAACTCCTCCTAAAGCGTTAGTTAGAAGCTGCACATTGATGCATTTTGCTAAAGCAGCTGAACATTCACCCTTCATGCAGCTTCTTCCTGCTGTCTGTTATTCACATCACTTACGTGGTCGGAGTGGGCCGTGCAGGACTTTCCTGTGGAGATGCTGGGGTTGGAGAAGCAGACGACGACGACGATGTTTGCCTCCTCTGCCTCAGCTCTGGCGTGCTCGGGTTCTGAACCAGCGGAGCTGCAGAAGACCTCAGACCAGAAGGACGTGCTTGATCTGCCTCTTTGGTCTGCAGAGGAAATCAGAATTTAAAGAACGACACCAGAAAACCAGAACTGCGAGACAAATATGTAAAGACTTATTTTATCAGGACAAACAAAAAGACTTAAAGTATTAAAACCAAGCAGAGTGACACTAATTTATTTATCTTTAGTGACTGATCTTGAAACCGTTGTGCTTCACAGCAGGTTGGTGATGAAGGACGCGGTGAGGAAGAACATCTGCTGCTCTCACATGTCCTACATTTGCTTATTAAATAGTTTCCGTTTTGATTCTGACAAAAAAACAGACGTTGTTTTTAAAACCCTATCCTAAAGCTAATAAAATCATATTAAGATTTTAAAAAATGGATAAAAACTTCACAGTTCACGTTTGCACAACATTTTACTCACAATAGATTCATAAACGTGAGCTTTTACTTCAAGTTAGTATTTGTATTAAAATAAAGACGTTCAGGTTGAAAAAACCAGAACAGACTGAAACTGCCAATTTGCTTAAAGAGCAAGTCACCCCCCAAATCAACTTTTTTTCTGATAAACTATATAAATGTGTGTCTAATCGTGCTGCAGACATGTGTCGTCAATAGTTTTGCACTTTAGTGCGTTTTAGTTAAACTTTTAATTTTCTGCCTAAAACAGTCAGTGTTGTGCCGTTGTCAGGTAAAAACTCTGCACTGCAGTTGAATTTAAATCTGCCATCGCTATTGGCTAAGAGGTAACCTAGAACGTTAGCTGGTACCATATGTAACGGTATGAAATGACTGTTTTCCACCAAAAGTCATTTCCCCCTCTCCTCTGACACAGAACTAGTCTGCATGAGATATGGCCTCAAGGTCTCATGCATTTGTTATAAACTGCTTCTTTCCAGCTCAAGAGAAGAATGAAGAACGGACTCTCTCCTTTTAATAAATCAAATAACTCTATTTTTAATAAGCTAATCAAACAAAGTGTTAGTCAATAATAAAATGTGAACCAATCTGTGACATGAAAATATTAATTACTTTATTATAATCCTCTAGAATATAATAAGTGATATGACTTTAAATGTTTCCACTAGGACTGATCTCACGTAGCGTTAAGAAATGACACATTACTTTACTGATCCAATCAGAATCTGCCAGATCTGCTGGAGGCGTGGTTTTGGTGGTGCTTGGTAAATCTGTCATCTTTTCATTCGACCATAAACCAAAACATCCGAAGTATAAAACTATGCCCACGTCATCTTTAACGCCAGTTCAAAGCGTTCTAGAGAAGTTGTCGGAGTGGCCAATCCGTAACTTTCCTCTTCAGCCGAAAGAACCGACGACAAGCTGGATAAAATCTGTTGCTGTTCCAACTGCTGCAACGGTTCCTTTCAGAATAAAAGCTGAACCATCACGACCCAGGTTTGGGTCTCGCTAGATGCCAACAAAACTGTCATGACCCAGAAGTATCTCAAGACTGGTGGTCAGCTGCCGCGGGTGTTTCTACAGGCTTCGGCTCCATAAAGGTCAAGCTGGACCTCTACACCTCCTGATCTAACGGGGACTTCCGCTAAGGGTATGTAGACCGACAGAACGGCGTTGAATGTGTTTATGAATCTCCTAACCAAAGCTTAACGTGAAGACATCACCTTCAGTTCCCATCAGAACTAATCGTTTCTTTGGATTTGCTGGTTCTGAGCAACATTCCACATCACACCATTCTCCGTCTCATTCATCTTAGTTACACCATACATTTAGTGTTAAAATTAGTCTAGTTTAATTTGTTTAGTAATAAATCTTTAAACTTTTAAACTTGACTCTCTCTCTCTTCTGTTGTCTCTGAGTGAATACGAGGCTGTTACATAATCCCTGCAATAAAAAGATCCAATCTTCTGGTTAAACAGCACCCGCAGATCCATGAGGTTGATTTCATATTTGCTATGGAATCTTGTGTCTTATGGCTCATTAAATAACACGTAAATTAAATCATTACACACATGATGTCACAATGTCATTGTGAGCCTGTGTGTGTTTGTTAGCGGCTCCGCCCTCTCGGTCTGCTAGGCAACAGCATTTGTTGCATTTTTCAAACAGGAAGTGGGAGCGGAGTAATACTCTGGTAGGGGGTGACTTGCTCTTTAATGTGTCATAAAGAAGCGGCGGAAGGTTCATTAAACTTCTGAGTTTTAAGAAACATGGTGATCCGTCACCAAACTCAGCCGCATCACTTAAAAAATAAAAAACTCCACTCGGGCTTTTCAAGGCTCACCTTGGCGCCAGCTCTCAGCGCTCCTTCAGGTGGGTTCCTCATCGCACACACCAGGTGCAGCGTGTGAATGACGCCAGTCTGCAAAACATCAAGATGAACAGAAAAGGTTCAGTTGAGCTAACAGAGGTTCAGCTGAACCGCAGCTACAGGACAGAACAGTGTAAACACAACACACAGTTTGACCGTCAGCCATGTTGGCTACGGGTCACATGAGCCCAACAGTCAGGACAGGGTCACCTTAAAATAAAACCTAGTTGAAAAATCGCAGTACATGACACCAAATCTATTTTTTTCCCAATAAAAAAAGTTATAGCAAAACCTAAAGTCTGCATTTTTGCTGCTTCGGTTGTTAAAAACAAACAAATATTGTTTCGTTCAGATATATTATGAATTATTTAACAAATACCGGATCTATCGGATTACTGCAGGAAACAACAACACAAACAACCTCAGCACAGGCGCTCGTTTCGTTTCCTGAAAGAAAATTTACAAACCAAATGGAGAATTTCATTAAACCACCACGCCGGCTTTCAGGCGTTTACTTCTATTTGTATGTAGTTTGGCGGCTTCTGCTGATGCCGAGTGTCCGTGTTGTCTCCTCTAAGCTGGGCTACAGCTTTAACAGGCGCTGGTTTAGCCTGCGGGTGTAAACCCGGGTTCATCTGCTTAACTACTCGGTGCTAAAAACGTGGTTGGTCTCCGTAGCTGACCCAAAGACATGAGAGGAACCCATTTGTCCCATTTTCGTCAGCTCGCTGGTGTCGTTTTACAGCCGATCCAAATGGAACAGTAGAGTCTGACCCGGAAAACCTCCATAACAATCAATCCATGAAATATTATCCTGTCCCACATTTATTAAACTAACGGGAATCTGAGGATTTGGGAATTAGAGGCTGTTTATCAGAAGAGGTTGATTTATAAACGTATTCTAGAGACATTAAATAATTGCAATGTTTGAAAACTGTTCATTTGTGATGGTGAACGGTTTGATGTAAATATGTTCAACCTGATATTCAGGCGGGTGTTAAGATGAATCTAGACAAGGGCTTTTCAGTTCTGGTCCCTGAGGGCTACTACCTGTTTGTTTTCTATGTTTAGCTTCACCAACACACCTGGTTTGATTTACATGCGTGATTAACAAACAGAACAGGTAATTCAGGTGTGCTGGAGATGGGGGATGGCTGCAACATGCAGCGCACCAGGACCAGAATTGAACCCCACTGATCTAGACGAACTTGGATAAAAAAAAAAAAATAATAAAATAAAATCTGAATACAGACCTGTCTGAAGAGCTCTTTGATGAGTAGATGATCTGGGAGCAGTTTGCCAGCGAAGATCAGCCTCTGGTCGCACACGGCCTTTAAAAAACACAAACAAGTTAGTTTATGAGGTTCATGTTCTTTAACACAGCCCGAGCCAGCTCACAAATATAAATACACATGGCGAATTACCCAGAGGTTACACGGTCTTGATCAGTAATCATTAACTTTACATGGAAACTAAGCATTTATCTCACAGCACCTGATGGTTGGACAGGTCTTATCAGCTAACTGCACCCTTTCATCTCTCTGATCATCCCTTCATCTTCTGGGAGTCTGAAGGAACATCACACCTTGTGAATTTGCTACTTACAATACAAAAACAACAGATAATAAACCAATAAGAATATTCTTCCCATGGGCTCACCACTCGTGGGAGGGGCCAAAGGGGTCGGGTGCAGTGTGTGTCGGGTGGTAGTCGAGGGCGGGGACCTTGGCGGTCTGATCCTCGGCTACAGAAGCTGGCTCTTGGCACATGGAGTGTCACCTCTCTGGTGGGGAAGGAGCCTGAGTTGGTGTGTGAGGCTGAGAGGTTCCGACTAGATACAGTCAGACTCTCCTCAACGCATGGCTCTGGCTCTAGAACCAGTTTCCTTGAGAGGGGTTGGACTTTCTACCAGTCTGGAGTTGCTCCCACTGAGAGGCGCCGAGCAGGGGTGGGCATACTAGTTGCCCCCCCATCTTGGTGCCTGTACGTTGGGGTTTACCCCAGTGAATGAGAGGGTAGAGAGCTGAGTCAGAAGGAGAAGCTCTCGATTTACCGGTCGATCTACGTTCCTACCCTCACCTATGGTCATGAGCGGTCATGGTAGTGACCGAAAGGACAAGATCGCGGATACAAGCGGCCAAAATAAGTCTTCTCTGAAGAGTGGCTGGGCTCTCTCATATGGGCCATTCCCATCTGTACCGGGTCGGCCCGGGCCGGGTAGCGTAGGTTGTTTACATATCTGGGTGGCCTGGTACTTTTCCGGGCCAACCAAGGCTCATTCTCAGCCCTCTTCTCGAGGGGGTCTGCTTCAGGCCGACCAGGGCCAACACACCCACTGCTGACAGCAAATTCACACCTTCCATTAGAGCAAGCCTCTGATTGGTGGGTAGAATCAGCCCACATGGGCTTAAGGCAAGGATGTGTGGAATCAACTGGGCCAGGCTGGGGCCGACTGGGGCTACCCGGCCCGGGCCGACCCGGTACAGATGGGAATGGCCCATTAGAGATAGGGAGAGAAGCTCGGCCATTCGGGAGGGGCTCGGAGTAGACTCGCTGCTCCTCCACGTCGAGAGGAGCCAGTTGAGGTGGCTCGGGTATCTGGTCAGGATATCTCCTGGACGCCTCCCTGGTGAGGTTTTGTGGGCACGTCCAACCAGGAGGAGACCTAAAGGAAGACCCAGGTCACGCTGGAGGGACTATGTCTCTCACCTGGCCAGGGAACACCTTGGGATTCCCCCGGAGGAGCTGGCCCAAGTGGCTGGGGAGAGGGAAGTCTGGGCCTCTTGACTTAGGCTACTGCCTCCGCGACCCGACTCCGGATTAGCGGATGAAAATGGATAAATGGATGGAAGATTATTTTTCATACTATACCTTGTGCTATAAGAGCTTAATTAGTAAAAAATAGAAACCTAATTTTGCTGCCGTGAATCTCTAAAAATACATGTTGAGCTAAATTTAACCTAAGTGAGATCCCTGAACAGATCATTTCTGAGGAAATTAAATAAAAACAAACATCTACTGGCCCATAAAGACAGAGGAATGGCTGACAGCTGTTAAATTCGCAGCTGGTCTGGGGTCCAAACATTCCACAACACACCCTTTAGCCAAGTTCCGCTAACAGTTGTCGGCTAACTTTAAACTCACCGGTTTGGTTTTGTAGACAGTCGACAAATACGTCTTCAGGTCCTTCACGGTCCACCTCAAGTGGACCCCTTCTATTATCTGGTCCTCCTGAGCCTCGTTGGGCGTTTTGATGAGCAGACTGGTCGTCTTTTGTTGCGAATCTCCCTCGTCCATTTCCACTCTTCTTCTCACTCGATGTAGACTCGGGCTAAAGCTGATGCTATTCACAATAATGTTCTTCAGAAACGAATAAAACTGTTCTGACTGAAACAACGTGAGGAAAGACGGGAATAAAATCAGCGCTAAACCACTAACAAACAGTGAAAGTTCGGTCAGTGTTTATTCTAGAAATGTCTCTGCAGCTCGTCATACGGGACTTTAGAAGAGGAAGGTCGTGTTTCCAAACACACGGTGGCCGCTTCTGATTGGTTACAGGCTGCTCGCGCTCTGACGTGGAGTCTGGTGGAAAAATCAGCCCCTGTGAGCATGCGCAAAAGAAAGTAGTTTCATAGATCGTTAATTTTTGTCTGAGATGTACACTCGGATTTAAATTTAATGAAATATTCAAAATAATAATAATAGAAACAACCAAAAGACACGACAAAATCTAAAAGAAAGATGGATAAATTAGGTAAATTAAATACATTTTTTGTTATATACATTAAGTTATAATTTTTAACTGTTTTTCTACGAGACATACAATTACCAGTTTTGTTGCTTGGAAAGAGAGTAAGACATCTTTCTTTTTTTTACTCCCTGATCAGAAAAGATCATTTCAGTGAAATTACATAACAAATGTTGCATCAGCAAGTCAAGCCATTGACTGCTAAAGACAAATTAAAGTTTTTGAAATTGAGGTATTTTCATTCAGGTTTTTACATTTTATTATGACCAAATTAGGTAAAAGAAAGAAAACGATCATTTATATAGCACCTCAAGATAAAAATCACGAGGCGGTTAAGATACAACTGGGTCTGTGCAGTAATGTTTACCATTAACAACTTTATGCTTGAAGTAAAAATAATTTTGTAAACCTTGGATATTTGGGATTTTGGTACCTTTGTGACTAATTTGAGCTCAATAGCATGTTGTGCTGAAGGCCAACATGCTTAAAACACAGGAAAGTGGAGGATAAAAGATTTGTCAGCCTAATAATCTCCAGCATGAAAAAGACAAACATTCAAAATAGAAAAGTCGCAAATACAGAACCTGAAAGATGCATCACCATGACTTTCTGTTTGATATCAAATTAAAATTGTTGTAAATAAGGAAAGGCTGCTGACATTTGCACTGTTTTACATTTTGAAAATATGTGAATTAAAACAAAGAAATAAAATCTTTTATATTGTGCCTCACAAGATAAAAATAACAAAGCGCTTCACAAGAAAATATAATTTAAAACTTATTGAAAAAAAGATTAAAAAAATATTGTAACGGAATGAAATGACTGTTTTCCACCAAAAGTCATTTCCCCCTCTCCTCTGACACAGAACTAGTCTGCATGAGATATGGCCTCAAGGTCTCATGCATTTGCTATAAACTGCTTCTTTCCAGCTCAAGAGAAGAATGAAGAACGGACTCTCTCCTTTTAATAAATCAAAGAACTCTATTTTAATAAAGCTATTAGCTAATCAAACAAAGTGTTAGTCAATAATAAGATGTGACCAATCTGTGAAATCCAAATATTAATTACTTTATTATAATCCTCTAGAATATAATAAGTAATATGACTTTAAATGTTTCCACTAGGACTGATCTCACGTAGCGTTAAAAGACGACACATTGCTTTACTGATCCAATCAGAATCTGCCAGATCTGACGGAGGCGTGGTTTTGGTGGTGTTTGGTAAATCTGTAATCTTTTCATTCGACCATAAACCAAAACATCCGAAGTATAAAACTATGCCCACGTCATCTCTAATGCCAGTTCAAAGCGTTCTAGAGAAGTTGTCGGAGTGGCCAATCCGTAACTTTCCTCTTCAGCCGAAAGAACCAACGACAAGCTGGATAAAACCTGTTGCTGTTCCACCTGCTGTGACGGTTCCTTTCAGAATAAAAGCTGAACCATCACGACCCAGGTTTGGGTCTCGCTAGATGCCAACAAAACTGTTGTGACCCGGAAGTATCTCAAGACGGGTGGTTAGCTGCCGTGGCCGCTTCTACAGGCTTCGGCTCCATAAAGGTCAAGCTGGACCTCTACACCTCCTGATCTAACGGGGACTTCCGCTAAGGGTATGTAGACTGACAGAACGACGTTGAATGTGTTTATGAATCTCCTAACCAAAGCTTAACGCGAAGACATCACCTTCATTTCCCATCAGAACTAATGGCTTCTTCGGATTTGCTGGTTCTGAACAACATTCCACATTACACCATTCTCCGTCTCATTCACCTTAGTTACACCATACATTTAGTGTTAAAGTTAGTCTAGTTTTAATTTGTTTAGTAATAAATCTTTAAACTTTTAAACCTGACTCTCTCTTCTGTTGTCTCTGAGTGAATACGAGGCTGTTACATAATCCCTGCAATAAAAAGTTCCAATCTTCTGGTTAAAAGTACCCACAGATCCATGAGGGTAATTTCATATTTGCTATGGAATCTTACGTCTTATGGCTCATTAAATAACATGTAAATTAAATCATTACAATATGGTTAAAATGAGAAAAAAATTGTGATTAAAAATTTAGGAAAGTGAAAGGGAAACCAGTGGATCCAGAGAAAGGTGGAGTTGGTAGAAAGAGCAGAATAAGGAGAGGGTGAAGATGAAGATGAAGGTCACACCAAAGCCTGAACAAGTGAGTCTTCAGCTGTTTTTTAAAGGAGACCACTGAGTCCACTGATCTCAGGCTCAGGGGGAGAGAGGTCCAGAGTCTGGGGGTCACAGCAGCAGATGATCTGTCACCTTTGGTCTTTAGCCTGGTGCTGCACAACCAGTAGGCTTTGGTCACTGGACCTCAGGGACCTGCTGGGGGTGTAGGGACTAAGAAGATCACCAATGTAAGATGGTGCTTGTCCATGTAAGTCCCTATAGACCAGAACCAGGATCTTGAAATGAACCCTGAAGTTGACTGGCAAATATGGGATTTTCAGACAAGCATGCCTAAATACAAAATAAGTCACAATAAATTCATGTACCCAAAGTAAAATAGCAGCTAGCTAAAGTGAACCTTTTGATTTACTCATTAATGACACATTTCACATTTGCAATTTGTCAAAATCACGACAGATTTAATTTAAAAATAATATTTTATTGAACTGAGCATAAAAAGTGATCTCATAACTACAACAACAATCAATTTGCTCCGCTGTTACAGGATTAGATTTGCAGGATGACTTTATACACAATGAGTGAAATGCAATAAGCAACCGATAGAGCTGCACCTAATCAGCATGAAGATTAACCATCAAAGTAAAAAAGTCTGGATTTTAATTCATAATCTCTTTGCCGCAGGACGTTTCTTAAAATATATTAACACAAAGTTGATAAATAAATAAAGCCATAATGGCCAAACAACAGCAAATATATTGGAGTAAAGTAATCAGAAAATATCTTTCCAAGCATTAAAATAAAGGATTAAACAGCAAAAAGCCAATATACAAGATGATTAATGGTTCTAACAGAGACATGGAGACTTTTTACTGGCAGTAGAAGGTAAGAACGCTTTCCTGGTTCCCTCGAACCATCAGGACTGGAGCTCTGAGATTCCTGGACAAGATGTCCAGCCACGCCAGGTAGAGCGAACTGGGACACACTCCTCTCCTCCCAACTGGCACGGTGCTGTCAGCGGACATGTTTGTTTGTTTACTCGTCTATGTTTTAAAGAGACAAGCAGCAAAATGAAGAAATGTTGCACTCACATCAAAACAAGAGCTGCGTCCCTGGAGTAATCCAGCAGAACCTCGTTCAGACGGACCTGACGGAGAGACTGACACCCAAACAAAGTGTTACATAAAGCGGAGGGGAGGAAGCAGGACCCAGAGTGGTCAGCTCGTGTCCCACCTTGGCCATGTTCCTCTCCAGATCCTGCTCAGTGATCATCCAGGGAGCATCCTGTGGACTCGGAGGCTCAGAGTCCATCTCGTGTTTGGGGTTTGAATCCAGCTTGAAGCGCCTGATCATGTTCTCAAAGTGATGGATGCTGGTGAACAACAGGAAGAGGAGAGGCTCCTGAGTCATTTAAGGAGGTTTAACCTTTATGACTAGAGGTCAACGAAAATTTAGTCAAAAACAAGACAAAAATAAAACAAACAAACAAATATGAGGATGTTTGAATGTTAAACTTCATCACCTTATAAAATCCTACATAACCTCAACATTATTATGTAAATTACTTTATGTTTGGTGCCCCAAACTAATATTCTCAAAAGACAAAAATGTCATTTTTACCTCTTGGAGTTCATTTAAAACAAAACTGTGATGCATCAATAATGTTTAACGTAGTTAGCACCAGCTATCACCAGCTAGCACCCAAACTTCAGAAGTCTTACTTCACAGCTTCGGGGTTTTCGTAGATGTCAGGGAGAACTTCTACGTCATGAAAACCCAGACGAAACTTCTTTATGAGTGACAAAACCCTGGGTGAGAAAGGTACACGCAGTTCTGTAAATAAACACTTAGATGCTTTAATGTTGTGTTAGGAAAATGAATGAAAAGGACAACCACAAAAGATGGATACTCATAAATACTTTTATAACATTTGAAGATGCAGCGATGCATTTTATTTTTAAAAATATAATTATATCATTTAATATTTCACATTTAAGAAAACTGTTTTAATTTGTGACAGGTTGTGAAAGAAAAACAAACTTTAAAGTTTTATTGACTTGTGTACTTGAGATGAACCATCTCATTTTTACCATATAACAAATAAAGAACAAGATACAGTCAATAAGCAAAAAAGGGCCAACAGAAAACACAGACAGCAAACATGAACAACAAACAAACAAACAATAAATAAAAAACAACAAAATGAATATATAAATTCCTTATGGATGGAGAATAAGGGCATCAGTCAAATCAAATGGCAGATTAAAATAATTAAAATGTATTTAGACAAAAACAAACAGCAAACGAAAATAGCGTTTCTATTCTGTTGTTGATTATTTTTGTTGTTTTGGGATTTTATTTGATTTATTTTAGTAGTTTTTTATTCATTGTAAATTCATGTTCTCTAGTTTAAAACAAAAATTTGTTCCTTTAAAAAAATTGCATCTGTGTGAACATCTGTGTCTGTTTACGAGCTGTAGCTGGGATTTTTTTATTCTTGAACTAATAACTAATAGTTTATTTTTGACATGTTTGATTAGAAGTGACAAAATTATTTAGATTAAAATTTTGTAACTAAATATATTAATTTGATATTACCTTTTAATTACTTAATTTGATTTATAAACAGAAAAAAATCCCTCTAAATCTTGAGTTGATGTAGTTTCGACCTCTGTCCAGCAGAGGGTGTATGATCTGATGTGTTTGCAGGGTGGTAGCTAGCTTCTGATAGCTAGCTGCTTTAGCTTGTTGATTTAATCTCATTTAACACAAATAAAAATAGATTTGCTGAGTTTAAGGGAGTTAAGTAGTTTATACACGCGAATACGTTCTGAATTCCCTGTTACCCAACCTTAACGGTAATTTAAGCCATAGTAAATTTTCAGTGATGTTCAATGATGTGCATTAAGACAACTCAAAATAAAATAAAATAAAATAAACAATAAATATCAACCAAAATTGTTTTCTGCATGAATCAAATTTATTTCTATAAGATGTTAATTTTAAATTAAATATCTCTATATTTAATTATGTACTGAAATTATTATAAAACACCGATTAAACAAATTAAAAATTGCTCTTGAGACCTGAAGTACTCAGATTGTCCACCAGAGGGCAACATGCCGGCATTTGAGTCAAAGCAACAGTGTTTTGAGTAACCTGGAGATCTTTTAATAAAGATAGAGGTCTGACAAACTTTGTAAGAGTATAAAAACATTTGATATATGTATATATATATATATATATATATATATATATATATATATATATATAGCGATCTACAAAAAATGCCACAACAATTTAACATAGCAATAATACTTTCCATGACAATGCATCAGGAGTGAGATGAATAAAAAATCTTATGATCTCTCACCCCTTCCTACTTCAATATATATATATATATATATATATATATATATATATATATATATATATATATATATATATGTAAGATTGTTGGTTTTTTTTTTGCTTTTCATCCAAGAATGACTCAAGCAATGGCTTCTGTTTTTGAATCAATGTACTCACTCCTCCTTCTGCTCATCCTTTTTGTCTTTTTCTCCTCCCACAAATACTCGGACCTTACACCGGGCCCAGCGTTTCCTACGGGTCAGCAGGTAGGGCAGCAGCAGGGTCAGACCTGGAGGACCAATGGGCATCCATGAGAAAATTTTTAATCTAATTTATGGAGATGGTGGATTATAGACAGGAGAAATAATCACACCTCCATCATCATACAGCCAGTACACATCGATGGTCTTCTTTCCTTGTTTCTTCTGAAACACGGTGCTGGACTGAGTCTCGGGCTCAACGGTGATGGAGGCTGCAAATAATTCAACAAGCAGCAGAAAGCATGTTCACGGAACAAATTTACTTTAAAATCTGCCTGAATGTGATTTTAAAACTCAGAACTGTGCATACATGAAACACTGGTTTGAATGCAGGAAGGAGCAGAGATGGTGCTTATCCGGTCCGGTCCTCCTTCAAAACCTTGATTAACTGGGATAAAAACAGTTGCTGAAATGATGATGAATTTCCCACCATTCCACCAGTTGGTACCAAATAATCTGAGATGCAGCGGGCAGTAGTTTAATGGTGCTACTAAACTCGTTTAGATGGTGCGTCCTGTTTAAAATCAGTGAATGCTCTCACCGTGCGATTGAGACGAACGAGAGGCGTCTAAGCCCTCCTTCATTCTCAGCACACACACTCCGTACTGGAGGTCAAACGCGTCACTGAAACACAAACGTGAGGGAAGCTGAGCTCTTCGTGTTTTCATGCAGGCTTGTTGCTACTTTTTCTGGATTTTCCAAACGCGTCTCGTAATCACGTTCTCGTTGCACTCACTGCAGGATTTCGATGTAGTTGTGTGCGGCCTGAGGCGAGTCACTTTGCCAGTCTTTCTTGAAGCCCATCACCAGAACGTTTGGCTTGATCCGGCCCAAACCGGAACCCTGAAGTCACAAAAGTGAGAAGAGAAACAGAATTTTTTAGGATCAGATCACGTTATTCAACTGTCAAATATGCACTTTTTTTAAATGAAGAAAGGCATTATTTAGCCGTTTTCAGTTATGATGAGTTCTGACAGCACTTTGAAACGCTTTAAAATGCGTTAATCCCACATAAACTGAAGTAGAGACACAATAACTCGGTGCCGTCTTGCTCAACTGAAGGCTTATTTTCCTCTTTTTTTTACATTTAATAATATTTTTCTTCCTTTTCTTATTTCCCCTCGCAGCTCGTCCTCCCGGTCGCTTCCAGGTTTAGTTTGCTGGCGATTAAACTCACTACTAACTGGAGCTAACCGTGCCTGAGCAGGGTCAGGCTGCAGTGGAAAAGCTGCAGAAACGGGCTCTCTGGGTTGTTGCTCTGACCTGCAGCAGCATGTTAACCCCGGATCGTAGATCTGGAGCTACAACTCCTCTGTAAAACGACTTGACCTTCCTTTTGTTCAACCAGGAGGTGTGACTGTTGCTGCTGGCTTTCTCCAACACGGATGGAGAGGAGTCGGCCTGGAAAGCAGGCAAAACACAGAAGATAATTAAACATCTTGTTTTTGCTCAAATAAAAACGGATCCGTTTGTTTAGAAGCTGCACACACAGTGACCACATTTCCACACATCATCAGGCTGAGATTTTTGGTGAAACAGTTGACCAGATCCACAAGAGCTGGACGGCTGTCAGGAGAACCCGTCAGCACCAGACACTGGGGTCTGAAAGTTCAGGAGCAGACAGAAGCTTAGTCCTCAGCTTTGATTTATGTAAAAAAAAAGTTCCACCACTGCTCACGACTGACCTGTAGTTCTTGACGTGGTCCTCCACAACGTTTAGGCCGACGCAGTGGTTCAAGGCCATGTTGTACAAGTTAGCCTGGACGGAAGAACCCCAGTTCACATCTGGACACAGTAAAGGATCTGAGTGAAGCAGCGACACGACACTACCTGTGTCACACTGGAGTGTGTGTGAGGTTACCTGGCTTTTTGTAGAGTGTGTACCCCAAAAAGAACGCAACGACACCGATGGCGATGAGCGCCGCCCACCAAGTCAGCAGAAACATGATGATCACACAAACCACAGAGATCAGCAGAGACAGCCACTTACTGTAGAACCTGAAGGAAGGACGCCAGCCTACACACACACACACACACACACACACACACACACACACACACACACACACACACACACACAATTTATGCGTGATTTCACTACCTGCTGCACGAAGTCAAAAACTTTATTCCAAGTTTTCACATTTCCGCCCTTTCAGCATTTTGCGTGAAGAAACGAGATAATTTAACGAGTGTAACCACGACAACAAGAGAGTTCTGCTTTTATGCAAAAGCATATCGATCTTACAGCCACAGTGTGATTAATTCATTCCTGTTTCAGCGGATTTGTTATCTGAATCTGACGCCCTGGTAGCCTTGAGCTGCAAGCAACTAAAACCCCCACGAAGGAATGCAGACAGATGCTGTGAACACCCCCCTCCCCCCCCCCCCCCCCCTTCAGAATGGTGGACTTCAGCCTGGCGAGGTCATCAGCTGGAGGAGTCAATGTGCTCTTCGCTTCTCCCAAGATCTCCCTCCCACCTGTGACTGTACAGCAGATGAGCGCCATAGATGGCTGCTCTCGCTGGGGGACACAGGATCCCAGCCCCCCCCCCCAGCCTTCCTATTGGAGTCTCATGTTATGTTGTGTTGTCTGAAGTCTGTTGCATTTCTGTTTGAGGTGTTCTTTTGCAGAGCAAAGCTGCCCTCCTGGTGGAGGGTAACTCTGAAGTGCCCTTTTTTCCCTCCACCTGAACCAATCCTCATGTAACCCTCTTATCTCTATCAAGGTAGCGCGACTCAGGGTTGCGAATGACCACAGTCACCAATTCTTGTCATGTGTCTTGCCCATGTATGTCTGATCTCTGAATTGTGTGTACTGAAACTCTAATTTCCCTCTGGGATTAACAAAGTATTGATTGATTCATTCATTCCCACCGGTCTTAACAGGAGTAGAAATTACAAACGTACTTCAATATGTCTAATTTAACAATTACATTTAAATTTTCACAAGTACAATTTCACTTCCAAAGATTTGATTTAAAGCCATACTGTACAGCTTTTCACATTTCTAAATCATTTCTTGAGCCAGTGTGTGCTAAAATGACCCTTTACAGGGTTAGTGATGTCACTCAGACCTCGCCGCCTGTTGTGGATAGAATAGCGCACTTGCAACTTCTGAGTGCCAGTCAAGTCCCTGTGCGACTTAGTAAAGTGGAGCTGACATGCCAGCCCGTTTCCTGCATGAACACAGCTGATTTGATTGATTTAGTGGTGAATCGCTCCTGTAGACACGACTGAAGGCCAAGGAGACGCTTCGGCTGTTAGATCAAGGTGTTAAAAAGACGAACGCACATCGAGGAGATGAGTTTCACTTTCGTCTTTACTAACACACACTGGGGGCGCTAAAAGCAAGACTAAACGGACAGAGCGTTATTTGCAAATGAGCGAACATCCTCACTGCCCCCTGGTGGTTCATTGAAGTATCGATATTTACAACTATTTTGCGATCTGAAGTATGAAGCTACATTTTTTTGTTTTTTTGCTTTTTTAAGGATCTCAAAAAATAAAAAAATACATTTTCATACAAAAGTGCCTGTTTTTAATGTCTGATGAGTAAAAACATCAGATTTTATTTCTAAACAACAACTAGCGCACACCTAACGAGAAGCAAGGTCACACTTCCCAGTGGATTCACAGTTTAATGAGACCTTAAAAACACGTGTGACATACTTCTGCATCACCTTTCAGGGTCAGAAGACTCCAAAGTGCTTTACACGACAGTGTACCGTTCATCCATTCACACACGCTGATGAGCTACGAGGTAGCCACAGCTGCCCTGGGGCTCACTGACACATTTACCTGGTGAGTTGGTGATTGATGCGTGGAAACAGCTGAAGTTGATTAAGGAATAGGAGCAGAGGTAGAAGTTGGAGATGATGGGAGCGATGGTGTTCAACTCAGCTGGCAGGAGGTGACAAAAACAACAAATAATGTTCGTTATTTACATCTCTGATGAGGATGTTCAGCATTTCATCAAAAAAATGAAAAAAAAAAAGATCAACTGTGTAATTTATGGATGCCCAATAAGTTCAACTATGAGTTTTTCACGCAGGTCAGAGGTCAAAGACGCTTTGCAAAGACTGACCAATGAGGATGAAGCAGGCTGCTATGATGTACGTCAGCAGGAAGCCTCTGAGCGGCTCGTTGTTTTTGCCGTAACCTTTGCCGAAGAATCCGATGAGAGGGTACAAATGGTCCTGACAGAGACACTAGGAATAAAAACACACGTTAGAAAAATACGCCGTTTGAAATCTCGCTTCGACATAAACAGGTGAGTTTGTACCTGGAAGACCTTAGGAGCCGACACCAAGCAGGCCAAAGCAGAAGACAGAGTCGCTCCAAAGATGCCAGCAGTGATGAGCGGGGCGAAGGCCGACACCATGCTCAGCGACTGTCGGGGGAACGTTTCCACTCGTTAGACTCCACGAGGAGAGAGAAGCTAAAGCTAAACGGTTTCTGCAGATTGAGATTATTTATGTTCACTGGTAATCTGTTTGTGAGAAGTGAAAGAAAAGTCAGGCTTGAGCCTCGGCTTCACCGTGTGGCAGCTAGAAGAACTTCTGGGTGAAACTGGCAGCATTTTCCAGCTGTAGATGTCTCAGAAAAATCATCATTTCCTGCAGCTAGCTATTGTTTTTGTCTTCTCTTTTCCCCCATTCCTAATCTGTCCGTTTCCTGTTTAGGGTCTGCACGATGCACATTTCACTTTAAGACCGTACAAATGGTTGTAAATAACAGTTCAAAATGTAAAAAAACACATCTGCATTCATTAAAAGCTACAGTTTTTGGTCTGTGCATGCTCAGAGTTTGTGCCGACCTGATAGTAGTTACTGATGCCGTAGGCGCAGGTATTATTGTTGATACACTCCGAGAAGTCCCACCCATAGTCACAGGAAATGCCGGTGCAGGCGTCCGCGGACGAGGATGCAGCCAGGGTGTCGTTGATGGAGCCAGATGCATCCCTGACAACGCAGGAGCCTTCAGGAGGACAAAAATAAGACACACACGTCACACAGTTACACCCATCACCAGGCGTACTCACAAAATGACTCAGTTCATAAATCTCAGTAGTTCTTGTCGCAACTCAAAGTTTTATGTGTACAAATATATGTTGAAGCTTTCATTTTAATTTGATCAGTGATGGAAACAGACCCAAATTGAGTCAAAAGAAATGTTTTACTTATGTTTAGTGAGTTTCTTTTAATTAAAATAAATTTAAAGCAGATTTTAGTCAAAAAAGTTAAAACAAAAGAACAAAAATATTGATTGGTTTTGTTTAAATGCATTCCTGTTTCAGCGGATTTGTTATCTGAATCTGACGCCCTGGTAGCCTTGAGCTGCAAGCAACTAAAACCCCCACGAAGGAATGCAGACAGATGCTGTGACAACCCGAACCCGACCCCCCCCCCCCCCCCCCCCCGTCAGATTGGTGGACTTCAGCCTGGTGAGGTCATCAACTGTAGGAGTCAATGTACTCTTTGCTTCTCCCAAGATCTCCCTCCCACCTGTGACTGTACAGCAGATGAGCGCTGTCGATGGCTGCTCTCTCTGGGGGAAACAGGACTCCCCCCCCCGCCTTCCTATTGGAGTCTCATGTTATGTTGTGTTGTCTGAAGTCTGTTGCATATCTGTTGAGGTGTTTTTTTTTTTTTTTTTTGCAGAGCAACGCTGCCCTCCCGGTGGCGGGTAACTCTGAAGTGCCTTTTTTCCCTCCACCTGAACAAATCCTCATGTAGCCCTCTTATCTCTATCAAGGTAGCGCGACTCGGGTTGCGAATGACCACAGTCACCAATTCTTGTCATGTGTCTTGCTCTGAATTGTGTGTACTGAAACTCTAATTTCCCTCTGGGATTAATAAAGTATTGATTGATTGATTGTTTCATGTTGCAATGCTTCAGCAAAATAAAAAAATCCTGCTTTTTAACTGTGATCTGGGTTTTCACCGATGGTTGCGGAGATAATGATGTAGGAGATAGTTGTCCAGAAGATCGCCATCAGCGTCCCTCGAGGAATCGCCACAGTGGGATTCTGGGATGGAGAGGACAGGGGGCAAACATCTAAATACTGTTGTCGCACAAGGCTGGAGAAAGACACGAAGAGCTGAAAAGAACAAATATACCTTCAGATCTCCGGAGATGTTGGCTCCTGCCAGGATTCCTGTGGCAGATGGGAAGAAAATGGAGAACATGCCGAAAAAGCTGCCCTCAGGCCCCCGCCAGTTTGGCACGAAATTGGTAGCAAAGATATCCGCTGCGAAAGGTGAGACAATAACTGTGGCAACTCGAGGTTCATCCTTTCATCAAAACTTAAACAAAAGTCTTTGACTGAAATCAGGGGCGTGTCCAGGGAGTGGCCTGGGGTAGCACATGCCACCCTTATAATCTGATTGGCCACCCCAGGTGCCACCTGTTCCATTTCCAGTTTAAACTGACTTTAAATTGTCGACAAAAGGCTTGGGTTGAAAACTCCAAAAATAGTGTGGTAGCATGCACCTTTAACATTGTCTTCTAGCCCAGGCCTACAGAACATTTCTGTAGTATTAATATTATTTATTATTTTTTCATATTCACATAAATAGTATTTAGAGTCCCACTCAACTCCAGTTGGTGGCAGTAATGCAACAACAAGTGACTTGCTAACCACCACAAAACTAGAAGATGAATAGAAAAAAATGGTGATTGTGCAATGTGAAACTCCAAAATTCACTAGAAAGTAAAAAAATAAATATACAATTTGTGTAAATAAATAAATAAGCATAACCATTGGTGCCACCCATGCATAAACAAGTGCCCCACATGGGCCACCCCATTTTAAAAGTCCTGGACACGGCTCTGACTGAAATTTAGTCAGAGTTGATCAGGAGAACTTGTCTGATTGTCTCGGTTAAACCTGATGGTTTACCTCTGTAGCCGAAGAAACCTTTAGCTTGTTTCTCTATCGAAGCCGGCATGATCGTTCCGACAATGTAACTGGCAAACGACACCATGATGAGCAGGAAGAACATGACCTGAGCCTGTGGAAAGAATACTGTAAGCATACGGACGTACAGATGTTCCAACCAGCTGTTCCAGACAAACAGGTGTTAACCTTTGACTCCCACGCCATGCCGGCCATCGAGATGCCCAGCAGACACGTCACGGTGATGACCCCAATGATGCGGATGTCGTTGGTTTTGTCCACCATGACAGCTCCGTTTTCCTGAGGAAGACGTTCATCAGCGACACTCACAGAATCACAGCTGAAGCTATTTTAGGGAAATGAGCATTTTCTCACGCTCATCAGGTCTGTGACGGTCTCAGCAAAGCCCACGGTGTGCATGGCCACAGCCACGGCATTCGCAAAGGCAAAGATCAAACCGATGGACCCGCCCAGCTCTGGACCAAGACTACGGCTTATCAGGAAGTACGTCCCACCTGAGGGTACGAGATGAAGAATCAGATTTGGGACCTGCTGGTTGTGAACAGAGAACCAAATAAACCAGACAGGTTGTTGCTTTGGAAACGGAGAGAACAAACCTCCTTTGACTTTGCCGTTGGTGGCTATGGCTGAAGTGGAAAGACCAGTGATCCCAGTTATGGAAGCAGACAGCAGAATAATAACCCAGGTCATACCTGACAGATGGAAAAACGTTGGAGTGAGATTTGCGAAAGCTGACCGTGGCAGAGAAACGCAGGATGATTGAGTCTGACGTACCGATGCCAGCCTGAGCTGTGATCCAAGGCAGCCTCAGGTACAGGATCACGCCCCAGATGTTTAACATGCAGCGAATCTGCAAGCAGACAGGAAATCAACATTTCTGATGCACAGGTGAAACAAACAACTCGTTTTTAGCGAGCAACACAAAAGTCGTAGGTGGAAAAGACGCGATGATGTAACATGGACGTAATTTTTGGGGGGATGGGGGTGGGGTGGACAGGGGGGACATGTCTCCCCCACTTTTTCCAAAGTCAAGTTTTGACCCCTGCACTTTTTACCATCCAAAAACAATATTACGCTATATGAAACTGACACTGGTTGAGCTCTAGGACCAAGTGGAAATCAACCGTTCGTGTTGAAGCCTGTTTCCCATCAGAACATACTGTAAAGATAACGCCCCCCCCCCCCCTCCCCGTGTCCCCCCCACTTCTAAAGCGAAAATGACGTCCCTGGATGCAACGGTGAACTTCAGATGTTTTCTACTCAACAATGTAAATAAGCTGCTGCCGCTTAGACTGCCAGTCCGCCAATGACGAAACAGAAGTATTTGAACTAATCAGTAACTTTATAAGACCTTTAGTGTCGTCTGCTCAGTCACCTGTGATTTTATTAGGACCGCCTGAAGGCGCAGAGTTTAACGGAGCTTCAAAAATGTCTCAGTGGAAATTCTCTATCTGTAATTAAATCAGTTTGGCTGTTTTTTCTGAATCGTGCGTTAACTTAAAAAAAAAGTCAGGTGACTTAGGTTTCAGGCTTTACCAGCGATCAGATTTATCGATTAAAGTCATGTTTCCAAATCTTTTCGTGGGTCTTGGGTTCAAACATCCTCAAGGGAATTATGGCAGCTTCTTGTCACTTTTAGGTTTTCATGTCTCAAAACAGCGAAATGATGTGACGTTACAGAAGCAGGCGTGCATTAATTTGTGTTTTTAATGAGAATTAAAAAAAAAAAACAAATAATATTTTAGCTCCAATTCAAAGTTTAACTGAGTGATCAGGAGACAAAAGTAGCAGAAAACGTCACGTTTTACTTTTCCAATGTAAGTTTTCTGGTTTTCAAAGATGTGAATGAAATGTTAGCAGTTAGAAACGAGATACTTTAAACAGTAAACGCTTATTTAATTTCATTTATTTGGAAAACGACTGAAAGAATTTCAACCATTCATCAGATTTGTGGGATTTGGAAGAAAATACGGCTCACTTTCGTGCCAAATTTTAGATAATAGATCTGATCTCTTCTATTTTATTTATTTATTTATTTGCATGAAAAAAATAAAAATGAAACAGCCAGAAAAAAAAGTTAGAAGCAAACAAAGTTGCATGCAGGTGGGATTGAGATTAGGAAATCCCAGATGTTTTTGTGAATCTCAGCATGCAGCACCAAGAAATGAGAAAAACTACGTTCATTACAACGTCAGCTTCATGCAGATTTAATCAGTAGTAAATGTGAATATTGTTATTTTAAAGCAGAGGTTTAAATGCTCTGAAATACAAGTTACACAAAAATTAGATGTAACGTTTGAGACATTTTGTACGGGAGTTACTGAGAAACCCACGTTTTTACTGGCAACAGAGCGACTGAGACCTTTAACCGCAATTAAACCCTGATAATCAGTTTACAGTCTGCATCGTTTCTACGAGTCATAAAAACAACCACGCAACGGTCACCTTCAAATGACCTTCAACGGTGCGGCTTTCTTTAACAAAGCAGCAACATCAGGACAGCAGCTTTCCTTTGTGAGTATAGCACCGGTCCCTACCATCACCCCCTGGATCCAGCCGAAGCGAGTGGGCTCAGATGGAGGCTCCTTTTCTTCGTCCACCTCATCCTCAGAGGTGTCTCCTTCCATCTGCCCTGCTGTCGTCTCCTCATACAAGGGAGGTCTGGTGTTATCCTGGAGGTCAGTCACAAATAAAATCAAATCAAAGCCACAAACAAACGAGTTTCAGAAACACCGGCATCGAGACACTCTGCAAGACGACTCGAAGTTTAATAAAAAGCTTTCTGAACCGCTGATTCTAACCTGGAACATAAACGAGGTTTTGTGACGATTTAGCAGATTTAACAGCAAATCTTCACTTGATGTTTAACTTAATGAGGAGGGGGGGGGGGGGGGGTGTGCTAAGGTCATCATTCCTCACCTCAGGGTTGCCGTGCAGCTCGTACAGGGACGGTCTGAAGCGTCGTCGCCGACCCCACGCCTGAGTGTTGGCGTAGAAGTCGTAGTGTGGGGGGGCGTCCAAGGTCTCATAGCCGGTCAGGGCCACAGACGGACGCGACGCCAAGCTGCCGCCATCACCGTAACACTGATAATAGCCGGACTCATCAAACCCCGACGACGGCGTCTTCCCATTGGGCACGGGCGTCGGAAGGTTCGGCCTAAAGGCAGCCAGGGGAACGCCGTCGCTGGCTACTGGTGTCTCCATTTTAAACACCACAATGATCCAAGCTAACTTTGATCACCAGCGCGGCGCCAGTGAGTGTGTGGAGGTGATGGAGCCGAGCTGGAGTTTAAGCTGAACGAGGGAGGTTTTATGATGAGGGCTGGGTTTAAATTTGACCTCGACGATGCAGGAAGAGCCCGGAGCCATATAAGATGTTCTCTTGTTCAGAGAACACTCAAACAAGACTCATTACAGGAATTATTAAGCCAGAAATGGGCAATTTCACATTGCAGAGGTCAGTCAGGAAACTCTTTAGGACCGAGCTATGCTAGGAATGACACTGTTCTGTTTAGAAAAGGAGCCACATGTAAGAAATTCTTACGGTTTCTGGTTTGATTTCACACAAAATGGTCAAACATCTGAAAAATAGCCTTTAAATGGACCTGAAATGCATCAGTTTGTGGTTATATCACCACTGTTATTAATGATTAATCTCCAGTGGGCATGTTTTCGGTTAGAATAAGATGTGAACAGCATCATTACACTCTGAGAGCATGAACCGACTCAGAGAATAACCTTGACTGAGACCAAACAAAAGAATCAGCGCGGCATGAAGGAGGTTCTGGTTTCTTTATGTTGAGAGTCTGAGGCAGTCATAATTAAAAAATATATATATATATATATATTTTTTTTTTCTTTTACTGCAAAACATGATTTTTCATAAAACTAAATTCATTGCCATCTGAAAATCAACCTAAACAGCAATAATGCAACACCAAAAGTAAGCAAATGTGTGTTTGAGGATTTTCTGTTGCCACATTGCTTTTATAGAGATTATAATCTATTATTGGAAAGCCGGATTAGTCACCTTTACTACGGGGTAAAAAATCTAAGAATTAAACAATAAAGAGCCTGTGTTTGATATATCACCTTGTAGGGTTATACAGCCCCCCAAGGCACTCTACAACACAAACAGTCATCCACCCACCCACTCACACACACACACACACACACACACACACACACACACACACACACACACACACACACACACACACATTAACATCATGGTGGTGATGAGCTACAGTGTAGCCACAGCTGCCTTGGGGCACACTGACAAAGGTGAGGCTGCAGCAGAGGTGCCACCAGCCCCTCCGACCACCACCAGCAGGTAAGGTGGGTGAAGTGTCTTGCCCAAGGACACAATGATTGCAATAGATGGGGCTTGAACCTGCAACGCTTAACTCCTCTGCCACCATCTTTAAGAAAGAGCAACACCTTTTAACGTCCTTACTATTCTATGGTGTTCCCATAAAATGAGATATTTTTTCAAGATGAAAGTCAACAACTATAAACAATAAACACAAATAGTAGCACTAAATAGTTTTCTAAACTTTAAAGGGACTTTACGGAGTTTTTAATTTTTATACTCGCGATTGCCCCCTCAGGCCAAAAGCGTAACGGCAGCTTCAATAGTAGGCTCGTGCACGAGGCGCGCATGCTGTACGTGCACACTCCTTAACGAAAATAACAGCTGAGACAGTCCCGTGTGTGTGTGTGTGTGTGTGTGTGTGTGTGTGTGTGTGTGGCCTGGAGGACAGAGGACAGGAGAACACGCAGCTAATTAATTAAATAATTTGGTTCTGTACCTTTCTCTTCAGCACAGCCGACAAAGGTTTATGATGGGTCAGTCCTCCTGCATGCTCAGATCATTCCCTTCCCTTGCTTGAAAAATTGTTCCAAAATGAAAGTTGAACCCACATCTTTTTTATCTGTGAATTCAATGCCGTTCGGCGAGTCTCAAATAAAAATTTGGGCGTCTTACTGTAAAAAAAATCATCATTAAAAAAATCATTGTAAAAAAGAAACTCCAAATAACAAACTTTATTCACACCCAGAATGGAACCCAGGTCTCCTACATGAGAGTCAGACATCTTACTAGGTGAGCTAAAGCACCAGTGACATCTATCGTATCTGTAACTTTTATATCCTTGATGACAGCTGAAACAACGTCAAACCAAAGAACGGTTGGGAGTGAAAATGGCTATTTTGTTGCTAATTAGCAGGAAATATCTAGAAGAAAGTTCTACAGAAAGTAGCTAAGGGTCCTCAGAAATGTAGCTAGCTTTGTCACTAGGCGTTAGGAACAGCGACAAAGTGGCACTGCCTCTCTCTCTGCTGCTAAAGCTACGGATAGCAAATGCTACGGGCGATGCCTGAGCGTGAACGCGCATGAAGCAGCCTGCTCGACCCGAGCATCTCTCTTTTTCTGTGATTTTACAGAAAAACATGCAATCACAGTAAAAATGCCAGGGCTCATTCTACAGGACCAGGGCATTGCAGAAGAATGTATGAAGAAGACATTTATTATTTCTATACATGTTTTGGCTGTCAAACTTCCATAATGCCCCATTAAGCTTGAGCTTTAACATCGATCTCAGTGATTTAGTTAGAAACTTGACCAGTTTCACACGTGACACCACTCTGCCTCCCTCTACTGGCCAGATACTGCACTTACGTTTTGTGGAGCGGGTAGGTCAGGGGTCGGCAACCTGTTCCCATCAAAGAGCCATTATTACCCGTTTCCCACAGTAAAGAAAACACTGGGAGCCACAGCAGCCGTGGCGTTGTGGGCGGGGCCTACCCTTAGACAGCAGAGAGCTGCTTTAACCAATCACAACAGGTGACAGCAGCCGGTACCGGTCGCTCGTGTACGTCAAAGTTATCTTTCATAAGACGATAATCAATAAATCGATTTATATAAAGTGGATCCAGAAGTTGTAGCCCGTCTCTGCTACAATATGTTGATATTTTTCACCCTGTTGGTGGTTTTACTGAGCAGGTGCCACTTTTGTCATACGTTTCTTTTTAAAACATGTTTAGACTGTTCAGAACACAAATCCAGGCTCTGTCACGTTTGATTGTTGTAATTAAACTTTGTAGGTGGGGAAGGTCAGAAAAGGATCCGATCAATTTGTTTTTCCCTCATTTACAGTGACGGAGATAACGGTGCAGTGCGCCTGGCTCTGGTGTTAATCAAGTTTTATTTTATCTCTTTGCAACAATTTTCACCAGAAAACAGAAAGTTAAAAGCAGGGCTTGTGTTGACCGGACAGTTCCCGTATTTGACCGTTTTTTTTGACGGAGAAAGAATAGAAAGAATTACCCCGATGCATGCAGACGAACTGACATTTTATTCTACGCACATCGCAGATGTAGCTAAATCACTCAAGAAAAGATTCCCATCTGAACATCTGAGCTGGACATTGCTCAGCGCAGCTCACTGTCAGCGTGTACATACGGTGCACAGCGAGCTGAAGATGTGGAGAGGGGCTTGGAGCACGTCGCAGAACCAGAGCGCATGCAGGAAGATTCCTCCGACTGAAGCGAGACTTGTCACTTAGAAAATGTTCCCTGATTATGAAACTTTGGCTGAATAGCACTTGTTCCTGTCTCCAATGTGGCGACACATCCAGGAGCCGTCTGAGGAGAATCCCAGAATCTCACATCCTCTTCAGCTCAGAAAGCGCCTATGATTACGCACAAGCGTGACGCGTCAACCCGGTCTCACAGTAAGACCGGGTTGGAACTGTTCAGGTTTACGCAGACAATCTTTACATTTAGAATTGGCATACAGATGTAAAATTAATGCAGTAAAATATAAAGCATTTTATTTAAATATCCATTCATTATTTTACAAGCACAGAGAGCCGCATCAGATGGATGGAAGAGCCGCATGCGGCTCCAGAGCTGCGGGTTGCTGACCCCCGGTGTAGGTGTTCAACAGGGGAAGCTCTTTACCTGCTTCACAGCTGTTACGCTAGCAGTTAGCCTTTTCAGTTTGCTGATCAATGAAAAGTACAAGAAGAAAAAAGAAGTTTGCTTTTTCTAGTGGCGTCTTGGCGGAGCCTGGAAGTAAAAGTAAGAGTAAATTCTTTGGAGATGAAGCAAAGAGCTAAAACCAGAGTGAACATCAACATGCTAGTTTGAGGGAGCTAAAGGAGGCTACAAAATCACAGACTGATGGTGACTTAGCTTTGTTGCTACCGGACTTGTAATGTTTATTTTCAACAATGTGGATCTTTTTACTTTGGGATTTGTTTTAGTATCATTCGGCTCATCTGGTAGCTCACTGTTAGCGCTAGCTACAGCAGGCTGCTGCAGGGCTGTTGTAAATCCACTTTCAACCAGTAGGGCGGAGGAGCAGGAAACTACCGCGTTACATCAAAACACATTTTACCTTTTAGAGGTTTATTCAGGATTCTGTATCAGATAGTAATGGGTCCAGATTGTCCGACTGATCAGAACCAGCTCCCCACAAACCTTGAAAAGTTTAAATGGGTATAAAACTGATGAATGATCTGACAGAAGAGCTTTTTTAACGACTGTTGCACAAATTGTGCTTTAGGTCATCTCCTCTGATCTCTTCCTACTGAAGGGTAGAATCCCAGACGACTCGGGATCTGCTCACAAATAACAACAAATCTGAACCGAGACGTGACATCAAAAGAATGGAAACTCCCTCGTGGCGACTATTTTCTTATTTTACTGTCATAAATTTCAGCATTTCTTTGTAAAACGGGTTCTGAGTACTAGCTTTTGGGTTTGCTGTAAATGTGTATCAGAATGCTTGTAAAAAAAACTGGTTTCAGCCTGAGAGAAACATTTTTAACCCTGAAAACATCTATAGTTCGTGCACAAGTTTAAAAGACTGAAGTGGAACAAAAAGCTTTTTCTTTAAAGTTCGGAAGTTGTGTTCTTGAAACGGAGTTAAAACAACAGAATTTCTCTTTCTAATGAGAAATAAGTGCTTCATCTTTCACAGACAACACTGTAATATCACGTTTTGATGTTTTTACGAGGCTGACTTTAGCCGTTTATGGCCATGTGGAGGTCTGATTTGACTTCTTACAAGTACATAAAACTTATTATGAAAGGTGCTTTTTATTCTTAACGCAATACTACGTGCACACCAGGCACCTTGAGACCAGTGAACTCCCTTGATGGGTTTAATTTGAAGAGGACCAATCCATTTCATGTATAAACGGCATTGTTCATTACGATAAAAACCAGTTTCCAGTAAAAGGTTGGGACTGGCTCCCCTGAACTGCATTTCCAGTTCTGACATGTTGTAGAATGATTAATCCGAGTTTTCCTGCAGCTGGGTCAAACCTCTCATTTCAAATTTGGGACAAACTTGAGACTAAAAGCACAAATAAAATGACTTGTGTACTTTCCCGTTTTTGTTTGAAACTGCATCAAACTGAATTCGTATTACGAGTTTGCCGTTTTCTGCTCTGTTGTAATGCTACGCGAGACTTCAGTTTGGTCCTTTACAACAATGTCTCACCACACACCCATGTTCATTGTTAGAATTAAACTTCCTGATGAAAGCGTTCCGTAAACCCACAAACCCTTTTATGGAGACATTTACACAGACTTCACATCACGTTCAAGGAAAAGAGAAACAAGGTCAGCTGTTATCTCTCAGATATGTTGCTTTATTAGAAAGTCTATTCAAAATGTAAACATGCTGCAATACCTCAGCTGTAAGGTGTCGCGGAAAACCCCTAATTAGGTGGATTTAAGAGCAGGAAACAGAAAATCCAGTTCAGGATTCTATATCACATCAGTTTTAAGAGTTACAGGTTTTTTTTTAATTCTCGTTTTTTAGGCAAGTTGATTTCTGAAGGAAACCAATTTAGATTTTAGACAGATTGTTCTTGTTTTATAGTTATAAAGCTCTGAAAAATGGAATTAGTTGCTCCAATTTTAGATTAAGTCAAGTTTTACAGTTGCAGGAAAACAAATAAACCTTGTGCTGGACTCTGATGTACAAAGTTCACCAACCTTGGCACAGCTGTTTTGACCTTTAACCTAAAATATGCAATTTACTTACAAGAATCATAACTTTTCACCTCTTAAGATCCATCTTAACCATCACAACTTCTAGGAACATGCACCATTGTACTTTTAATATGAGAACTCAGATCTTTAATATGGAAGCAGTTTAGTTAGATATCTTTCAAGCATCTCATTTCCACAGAAGCAGCAATGGAACTAATACTTTCCAAGTATTTCTTACGGTTTTAAACCAATCAAATCACAGAGATGTCTTTCACATTGCAGTTCTGCAGGAACAGATGGCAAAATAGCAAAAAAAAAAAAATTTAAGAGGAAAGTTAGACTTGTGTAAAAAGCTGACAAATAAGTTTTCAAAAACAAAAACTAAGTTTGGTTCAGATTTTTACCAAGTTTGAACCTCTAAACCTTTGGGTTACTTCAAAGTCAACTCCAGTTAATTTCTCCATAGAGAAAAAGTGCAGTTAAAAGCATGACCTGGTTGTAACCCTTTAAGATTCGAGACTTGACAATTTCAAGAAACCATTCATAGCTTTTAATATAATTTTTATTTGAACAAATATTGAACTTTGAAAGATGTGAGCACCCAGAATCAATGTGTTGGACATGGAGAATAGTTTCATGGTTTCCTGCACCGTTGAGCCTGCGAGAAAGAAAGTTCAGATTGTTAGTGAAAAGTTTAAATTTGAGTTAAGGAAAACAAAAAATGCTCACCCGTTACCCTCTTCTGGTTTTACCGCTTCGCCTTCAAGCTAGCAAAAGCCGCTAGTATGCAGAAAAAAAAAATCCAACATCTCCATCTCAAAAATGAACATCCTGGATCATAAAACTGCCTTGCACAAGGGTAGGCTCAACAATCCTTTAAGTTTCAAGACCATTCCTGAACAAAATGGTTGATAGGGCTGTTTAAACCCCAGCCGAACAAGACTGGGAAGTTTGAAATATGAAATTGTGAATTAGCCTTGCAGGAATCTGTTTAAGGGACTACGGCCACTGAATTAAGGGGTCCAACTGGAGAGCTGATCAGCTGACACTGAGCTGGTAGAAGGAAGCCACAGTTTAAAGAAATGCAAGCATTTTGGCTAAAAGTCTAAAAAGCAGCACGTTAGCCAGATCAAGTTTTCCAGGAAAGCAGTCGATGAGCTAAACCCAACCGTCATCTGAATGGGAATTACCATGAAGACCTCACAGGAACATGATTCTGGGGTTGGTTGTATTTTGCCGACTGTTGCCTTTGATCGTTATTGTGCTTGGTTTGAAAGAGACTCTGAATGGAATGGGGGACTGCGCCAGACAAAACATGCTGGAAAGCATTGGAGGGAAAGGAAACAGTCTTCTCTGAACTTGGATAATAGTTAACCTGAAAATTGTAGGACTGTTCCAACTTTTGAGGTTTCCTAGCAACATCAATCGTTTCGGACTGGGGTTTACTTTGGTAAGGTGGGTTCAGGTTGAATGAATCCTGTTCACTGTTGGAGGATGAAGAGGACGGCAAATTTAAGGCAGTTCCTGCTGCATCCCATTTGCTTGGGAATTCAAGATGAGAGGAATGAGATGGAAAAATAGTTTGCCCATCAACGGCATCAGCTGCGCCATCCGCGGTGATTGAGAGTTTGACAGATTTGCCACTTCCCTCCAGGTTGCGTTCCGTGTCCTGTCCAGGTGATTTAGTTGGACTTTGCGATGTTTCTTGACCACTGTTGTAAGGATAAAATTTTGGGAACAGAGGTTTCTGCCACTTGTGTGGTGGTTTTGCTTCATAAATGGCAGGGGAAGCATCCAGCTTTGAGAAGTCAACTGCAGTCTGCCAAGGTTCAATGGGTGTTTTAAACAGACCGTCATGTTCAATAGTAAATGTCAGACTACCTGAAGGTCTAATTTGACTTTGATTGTCATCGCTACCAAGTTTGACCCAAGTGTTGTGATGTTGACTTTGAACCGCTTCAGGTTGCGACGGGTTAGGTTGGACAGTTGGGCCTTTGTGTGCATGCTCTGGATCAATAAGTTCTTGGTATTTTGAGACCGGGAGGACTGGAGATTGAAGTTTGTTCATTTCAGATGTTTGAACCCCCCAACTCTGTCCTGAAGGGGTGTTATCTTGGTTAACCTGCTGGTACGAGTTCCAGGAAGGTTTGCCACTAGTAGGTGGTGTGCCAACAGGCTCAGGCTGCTTATTTTGTTGAAGAATGGTATCAAAATTTAAGTGAGGCCTTTTCTTTTCAGTTTGTTCATTTGGTTTTTGTTGCACTGCCTCAAAACTTAAAATGGGCCATTTTGATCCAGTCTGCAGGGACTTAGCAACTTCTGAAAAGGAACCAGTATTTTCAGGGTTGATGTTAAACACATATCCACCATTACTTTGAGTTATGTTTGGTAGTTTGCCCACAACTGGGAATGTAAAGCCCAGTTTAATAGTTGGACTGGAAAATTTTTGTTCTTGCTCTTGTTCCATTAACTCCTCTTTAACATCAGCACCAGAATTTCCAAAACCGCCTTGAATCTCAGCATTGCTTGGATTGGAACCAAACTGCATTGGGGATGAGAGCTTAAGTTTAGATAAGTCAGGTTTAATGACCAAATCTTTTTCTCCAAGACTTGTTTGAGGTCTATAAATGTCTGAATTCTTAAAATATTTTAGAATAGGCAGGGATGGTTTTCTAGTACTTTGCATCTGAAGTCCCCAAGGCTGTCTTGCAGGTTTTTCCAGATTACCATTCCTAGTGTTTTTATGCTCTTTAGGTTGCCAAGTACGTACAGGATTAGGACGTGATTGTTCCTGTGTTGTCTTACTGTAAGTGGACCATTGAGATCCAATCTGCGATGGTTGCCGTTTTTCCTGGTTGTAGGTGGGCCATTTGGATCTGGTCTGTGACGGATGTTGTGTCACCACCCGATTGACAGAGGGCCATTCAGATCCGGTCTGTGATTGTTCCAGTGTTGCCCGATTGTAGGCAGGCCGTTGGGATCCGGTCTGCTTTGGCTCCTGTGTTGCCTGATTGACAGGCCATTGGGATCCGGTCTGTACTGGCTCCTGTGTCGCCTTATTGTAGGTTGGCTTTTTGGATCCAGTCTGCATTGGCTCCTGTATTGCCTGATTGAAGGCAGGCCATTGGGATCCGGTCTGCATTGGCTCCTGTGTTGCCTGATTGAAGGCAGGCCATTGGGATCCGGTCTGTACTGGCTCCTGTGTCGCCTTATTGTAGGTTAGCTTTTTGGATCCGATCTGTACTGGCTCCTGTGTTGCCTGATTGAAGGCAGGCCATTGGGATCCAGTCTGTACTGGCTCCTGTGTCGCCTGATTAAAGGCAGGCCATTGGGATCCGGTCTGTACTGGCTCCTGTGTCGCCTTATTGTAGGTTGGCTTTTTGGATCCGGTCTGCATTGGCTCTTGTGTTGCCTGATTGAAGGCAGGCCATTGGGATCCGGTCTGTACTGGCTCCTGTGTCGCCTGATTGAAGGCAGGCCATTGGGATCCGGTCTGTACTGGCTCCTGTGTCGCCTGATTGAAGGCAGGCCATTGGGATCCAGTCTGTACTGGCTCCTGTGTTGCCCGATTGAAGGCAGGCCATTGGGATCCGGTCTGTACTGGCTCCTGTGTCGCCCGATTGAAGGCAGGCCATTGGGATCCGGTCTGTACTGGCTCCTGTGTCGCCCGATTGAAGGCAGGCCATTGGGATCCGGGCTGTACTGGCTCCTGTGGTGCCTGATTGAAGGCAGGCCATTGGGATCCGGGCTGTACTGACTCCTGTGGTGCCTGATTGAAGGCAGGCCATTGGGATCCGGGCTGTACTGGCTCCTGTGGTGCCTGATTGAAGGCAGGCCATTGGGATCCGGGCTGTACTGGCTCCTGTGGTGCCTGATTGTAGGCAGGCCATTGGGATCCGGTCTGTACTGGCTCCTGTGGTGCCTTATTGTAGGTTGGCTTTTTGGATCCGGTCTGCATTGGCTCCTGTGTTGCCTGATTGAAGGCAGGCCATTGGGATCCGGTCTGTACTGGCTCCTGTGTCGCCTTATTGTAGGTTAGCTTTTTGGATCCGATCTGTACTGGCTCCTGTGTTGCCTGATTGAAGGCAGGCCATTGGGATCCGGTCTGTACTGGCTCCTGTGGTGCCTGATTGAAGGCAGGCCATTGGGATCCGGGCTGTACTGGCTCCTGTGGTGCCTGATTGAAGGCAGGCCATTGGGATCCAGGCTGTACTGGCTCCTGTGGTGCCTGATTGAAGGCAGGCCATTGGGATCCGGGCTGTACTGGCTCCTGTGGTGCCTGATTGAAGGCAGGCCATTGGGATCCGGGCTGTACTGGCTCCTGTGTTGCCTGATTGAAGGCAGGCCATTGAGATCCGGTCTGTACTGGCTCCTGTGTTGCCTGATTGAAGGCAGGCCATTGGGATCCGGTCTGTGATGGTTGCAGTGTCTCTAGATAGGCAATAGGCCTTTCAGACCCATTCTGAAATTGTTCCTGTGTCACCTTATTGTAGGTTGGCCTTTTGGATCCGGTCTGCATTGGCTCCCGTGTTGCCTGATTGAAAGTGGACCATGTGGATCCAGTCTGTGTTGTACTGTGGTCTTGTTTTGCCGGCTCTGCATACTGGTTTGGTACATACATACTTAATGGAGTTTGAGATTTCTCAACAGGAATGTGGCTTTTCAGAGGCTTCAAAGATGTAGACAATGGAATAGATAAGTTGAACAGGATTGTTGATTTAGAGACTTCACTAGTCTTCTTTTGGTATGGGTCCTTCACATAAACAGTTTTTTCAGGGGCATATTTAGGAGTGCTGGAGCCACTTTGCATCTGATCAGTACTGTGTACGGGTTCTGTGTCAAAGCCAGGGATATAATCATTTTCATTTTGTTTACCGAGGTTGAGAAAAGGAATATCTACATTGATCTGAAGGCTTCTTGGCTGGGCCGAAGGATGGTTTCTCAGTGGTCCAGGTTGAAAAGGGAACATTACCTTTGGTCCATGGGGCCTCTGGAACTGAGTTTTCATCAACGGAAGGCTTGGAGGGCTCAGATCCCTCAGCAGATTTTTGGAGGGTTGCCTTGTTCTGACCAGACCATAAGAGTGCAGATTTACACTGGGCTGCCTCAGATGACGGATATAGTCTAGAGGGCGACGGTTCCCATAATTCAGTATTTGTTTCCTTCCTTTCTTGTGCCCACCTGTAGGAGTCACAAAATGACAAGTCAACATTCAGTAAAAATGTTTTAAATAGTTAATTTGACTTCAGATGAACATAGCTACAAACAAAGTATTTTAATTTGGCCAACATAGATGCAGATTTACAGGATATTTTAAAACCCAGCTGAAATTTGTTGACCCAGTCCAGGCATTAAAGTGGCAAGTGACATCATCCGACAGTTTTTTTATTATTATTATTATTTTTTTAATTTATTAAAATCAGTCAGAGTGTATGAAAAGCTTACCCACAACACCTACAGCGAGAGATTTCTTAGCATTTGTAAGTCTATGACAGCTTTAAAGATTTTATTTGGTTTATTTCTTTGAATGGGATAGTGGATATTAATGAACAGACTTCATAAATACTATGGATTTATAGAGATGCCAATTTCAATCCTTAGTGCCACAACAATGATGTGGTGTATTTTGTTAATCCTGCTTAATCTGGTCAGAACATTTCTTTAAACTCGGGTCATTCTAAGAACCGTCCATCACTGCAGAATAAAGCTACAAAACATGTAGAAATTTACATTTTTATGCATACAGCGAGTCGCGTTGCCAATAGATGGTAAAATCCATTTGTTACAGTTCAACTTCATGAGATAATGCCAGCTGCTATGCTTTGTGTCTGTTAGACATCCCATAAACTTATGAAGTGATGAAAGGTAGATCTATAAATACATTTGGAACAAATTTAGTTCAGTTTGAGTCATCAAATAATTTCTTACAAACCTGCAGATGATTCAAGTTTCAGAAACCTTAAAGTTAAACATTTTTCCATAACAAGATGTCTCAAGACTCAATTGCTGAGCTTTATTTAGCTAATAAAATCAAGCAGAGTGGTTTTGAACTGTTTAGCATCTACCAGCAGATGGAGCTTAAACATGGCAACTTGTTAAAACAAGGTCAAAGTTCATCTCTACACCCAACATCTCAGGGATCAGGAATGTTAGTGTCGAGCAAGCATCATGACAACGTGCTCTGCGGTGCTCATGCAGACAGACTCAAGTAATAAAAACAAAACTGGGTCAAAATCTTACCT